ACTCTTCTGTCTAGAGCAAAAGCGAAAGAAGAAAACCAAAGACTCAAGGGAGCAATTAGTCCAGAGAACTAATGAATCACGTGAACCCCAGCGTACATGACCCTGAGAGCAGAACTGGATGGTGTCTGGCTACCACTACTGACTGCTCTGACTGGGGTCACAGCAGAGGATCCTGAACAGAGCAGGAAAAAAACGTAGAACAGAAAATCAGATTCACAATAAAAGATCAGACTCACTGGTCTGAGGGAGAGTGGAAGAACCCATGAGACTATGGTCCTAAGACACCCTTCTGACCTGGAATTGAAACTAATCCTAGAGACTACCCTTTAGCCAAACAGTGGGCCCATAAAATAAACAATAACACCTGAGAATAATGTGTTCCTTAGAACAATCAGTTGTATGAGATCAAAAGGACATTTGCCCAAAAGCAAAGACGAGAAGGCAGGAAGGGGTAGAAAATCTGGACAAAAGGAAGTGGGAGGAACCCAGGGCAGAAATGGAAAGAGTACTAACACATGGAGAATCCAACCAATATCATGGAACACTTTATGTACAAACTGTCAAATGGTAAACTGATTTGCTCTAAATTTTCACCTAAACTAAAGTACAATTAATTTTTTTTTAAAGTGTCTTGTTTTCTTACTCTCTCATTTTCCTTCCTTTACCTATAATTATGCCTAATCTTAATCCTGGTGCTAGCTCTTACCCATAATTAGGTACTCAGTAGATATTTACTGATTAAATGGACTCTATGCACTGATGGAGTTTATGTCTGGTATGAGTATGTGCTGGTTTGGATTGATGACCCCACACATTTTTGTATAAAATCAGAGCTGAACTGTGCATTTAAACAGCTGGTTTTACATCTATACATAAAGGAAAATAGTCTATATGAAGAATATAGCTTTTTAATTTCTATTCCACATTCTTCTTCTATTCTATCAAGATCCATCTATTGTGGCTCTGATCAGAATGGGTGGTAGTAGTAGCTGGGCACCATCTAGTTCTTCTGGCCTCAGGTTATGAGGCCATGGTTTGTGTAGATTATTAGTCCTGTAGACTACTTTCTTCTCTGAATCTTTGGTTTCCTTCATTCTTTCTTGTTCAGGAGTAGTGGAGACTAGTAACTGTATGTTAGATGTCTGCTTGCTCACAATCTTTTAACACCCCGCACACTACTGACCACGTTGTGATGTAGAACACATACTTTATGAAAAATATTATGCCACTTAACCGAGTTGTCCCTTGAGACTATGGTCCTAAGCCTTTAAACCCAGAAAAGCAATTTCATATAGTGTTTGATTATGTCTGAGAAGTATTGTGACTGTGTCCCCATGTGGTTTATTATATATATAGATATACATGCATGCACATACATACCTGTATGTACAAAAGCCTATAGATTCATCTGTCTATGCACACATCCAAACCAAACTCACTGCTATCGAGTTGATTCCAGCTCATAGCGACCTGCATCGGGTTTCCAAGGCTGTAAATCTTTATGGAAGTAGATTGCCTTACCTTCTTTCTTGGAGAGGCTGGTGGGTTTGAACCACCTACATTTTGGTTAGTGGGCCAGTGCCTTAACCACACACCACCAGAGCTCACATATGTATGCACATACTCATACCTATACACATTTATGCCGGTAACATATTTGTGTAACCACATATGTATTTTTTTATTGGTGGTGGTGGTGTTGAAATATAATATTTGTCATATCCTTTACCAAAAACATCCTTTTTCTCTTGTGCACTTCTGTGACATCATTTAACTTGGTTAAGCTATGTGCACTTCACCCGTGTTCAGTGCTAGCTACCTTTCACATCACCAAAGATAACACAAGTGTTTAGCATCTCAAGAGTAAATCCTCCTCTCCTGCTTCCTCTACACCTTCCTGGATGTAAAAAGTCCAGACTCACTAGGCCAGTTGAGACTAGAGGACTCCCCAAGACTATCACCCTGAGATGCTCTTTAAAACTTAAATCAAAATTATCCCTTGAGGTCATCTTTTAGCTAACAGATTGACTAATAAAATAAAGAATATCACCTGTGAGAAATATCACTCCTTTGAAAATTATCTGTATGAGACCATGTGGTCAAAAAATTACTCTAAAGCAAAGATGAGAAAGTAAAGGCATAGGGAAACTAGAGTACTGGAAATGATACAACCAGAATGGAATGAATGAGACTATGACACATTGTGAAAAATGTAACCAATATCACTGAATAATTTGTGCAGAAATTGTTAAATGGCAACTTAATTTGCCGACTCGATGGCATATAACAACAACAACAACAATTTGCTGTGTAAACTTTCACCTTAAACACAATAGAATATTATTTTTAAAAATAGACATATATAATTTTTTAATACCAAAGATAGTGGTGATTTGATGCTCATCCTTAAAAATGTAAGACCCTGGCCTGGGACTGATAATCTCTGGTCACACCTAAAACGTACCATTTCCAGAATTAGTATGCTGTACTCTTAGCATTTTAGAGCCTGGTATTCCCAACATTTCAAAGCTGTCTTAGTGTTATTTGAATATTCACACTTTCCTCAAAGAAAGGGTGGATCTTCCCAAATAATTTCTTTAAGCAGTCTAGCAACAGTTTTGTAGGAACCAAAATAAATTTGTAAATGACATTCTTGTAATCTAAGATGATGTTGTTGTTGTTAGGTGCCATCGAGTCGGACCCGACTCATAGCGACCCCTCCTTGGGTTTCCGAGGCAGTATCACTACAGAAGTAGATTGCCCCATCTTCCTTCCAAGGAGCGGCTGGTGTATTTGAACCTCCAGCCTTCTGGTTAGCAGTCAAGTGCCTTAGGCACTATGCTACCAGAGATAAAGATGGATGTTTTGTGTTGTTTGGAAAATAATAATAATATATATTTTTTAAAATTATTCTGTCCACCAACCTACAATACATACACAAAATGGAATACTATGCAACTCTAAAGAGTAACGTAGAATCTACAAAACACCATGTAATGTGGATGAAGTTGGAGGACATTATGCTGAGTGAAATAAGTCAGTTAAAGAAGGACAAATATTGTATTAGTCTGTTACTGTAAAAAGTCAAGCAAAGGTTTATGTATGGAAAGAAATTTTCTTTGTTGGTTTACCAGGGGTGGGAGGGGAGGGGAGGGAACACTGCTAGATAGTTAGAGACAAGTGTTGATTTGGGTTAAGGGAAGGACAATGTACCCAATGTGAGTGATCAACACAGTGGCATCGAAGAAGAAGACATAGAGAGGTGCATGGGAGGTATACACAACAAAGATGAACCCTTTTGCACATATAGTACTGCGTTGTCAGTGATGGCAAACATTCATCTACAGATGGATAGATGGGTAGAGAGGCTGAATGATTAGGTATGTCTATGGGGGGAGGAGGGTGCCCAAGACCATGTATGGAGTTGGCACACAATGTTTCTACAAGGTTATTTGTATGTTCTGTAAGAATCTCCAGGCATATAGTAGAACTGAGAAGGGACAAGGTTGTAGTGACTTTTTGGCCACAGCCACCTATCTGAAGGGAGCGAGTGGGCTTGGAACCATGGTCTCAGGGCACATCAAGCTAAATTGGTGTAACATACTACACAAAAACATTGTTCCACATCCTGCTTTGGCGAGTAGTGACTGGAATCTTAAAAGCTTGCATGCAGCCATCTAGATGCAATGATGGGTCTCTTCTTGTCCAGAGCAAAGAAGAATGCAGAAAACCAAAGACACATGGAAACAATTAGTCCAAGCGACTGCTATACCATGCAATCCTCAGCCTATATGACTATGAGACCAGAAGAACTAGATGGTGACCGGCTACCACTGTCAACCGCTTACAGGGGAATCTATGTAGGAGAGCCTGGATAGAGTGGCAGAACAATGTGGAACAGAACTCAGATCATTTAAAACAAACAAAGAAAAGGGACCAGGTTTGCTGGTCTGATAGAGCTGGATGGAACCAATGAGACTATGGCCCCTAGCTACCCTTCAGGTCTGGAAATGAACCCAGACAAACAAAAGACAGGCATGTGAGCTAAACATTTACTTTAGGTAGATACACTCCTTGGAGAGATCAATCATGGGAGAATAGAAGGGCTGTGTATTCACAGGGAGACAGGTCAGGGGTCAGGAATGCATGGAGGGATGGACACAGGGAAGAGTTGGCTATGGAGAGGAAGTGGGAGAAGAGCTGTTGCTTTGTGGACGATTGCAGTCAGTGTCATGAGACAAAGTGTATGTGAACTGCTGTATGGAAGATGAATTTGCTCTGTAAACTTTCACCCAAATCACAATAAAATTTTTTTAAAAAATTACTCTGTCCATGCCATCTTTTATTTAGCACTCCTGAAGAGAAAAGTAATTTTTATCAGCCAAACATTACTTATAGAAAGAAATAGAGGCCAAACCAGACAGTACTTTGGGAAGATAAAGTCTTGCTTAGGAACTTGCCTATGGCTGCAGAATGAATTGTTAGTTGAGCATCTTTTCCAAAAAGACAACTGTTTTAGGCCATTGTCAAACCCTTTAAAAGAAACATTCAAGATTTATGTGTATCTTGAAGGTTTTTGAGGGGGAGAAATTTAATTTGGGGGACTTGGAGGTACAAAGTGCTAGGATTTTCTACGTTAGAGGAAAGTTTTTTTCTTCGATAGTTAAAAGGAACGACAAAAAGCCATCTACTTTCTTGGGCATTTTCCCAGTAAACCCAAATCAGCAGGAATATGGCAGGTTCTCAGGTTTAAAAGCAAAACTAGTTATTCTGTTATTGTACAGATGTGCTTTATTAAACGAAAGCATTGTGGATCTCTGATGTTTGCAAAATCAAACAACTCACTAAGTTTTCTTTCTGCCATTTTCATTTCATGGGGGACTAATGGCCTCTTTTGAAACTTGGGGATTCTTACAGTATGTAGTGATCTCAGAATAGACTTTTCCATTTTCTTTTATTAAATGCCAAAATTATTTCCTTCTGTTTTACTGTTCATACAGGTACAACAACAGGATTTAGAAAAGATGCATCCACATCTCCTATGCTAACAGGAAGCCAAAAGGAGCTTGCAACTGCGGCCACGTCATCGTTCCAACACAACACCTCCCGGTAAGCTTCAGGGACACTTTGGTTTATTATTCACCAGATGAGAGCATTTTGGGAGCTTTATTTAATAAGAAATGGAAAAAATCTTGAGAATTTTTAATAGTCTTTATTCAAGAGAAAGGCCTTTATTTTGAAATAAGTATATTTGGACCAGTTTGAACTGTATGGGGTCCTTTTCTCTATGCATACCTAAAACCAAACCCGATGCCATCAAGTCAACTCTGACTAATGATGACCCTTTAGGACAGAGTAGAACTGCCCATAGGGTTTCCAAGGTTGTAAATTATTATATAAGCAGACTGACTCATCTTTCTCCCATAGAGCAGCTGGTGAGTTTGAACCACTGATCTTTTGGTTAGCAGCCGAATGCTTTAAGCACTAGGATACCAGAGCTACTTTTCTCTATACAATAGACTTTCTTAATTGATAATAGTAATTTGCAAAGTTTCCTTAGAAACCCAAAGCTAATCCTGTCCTTCATCAGAAAATCTTAACAGCGGGTTTCAGTTTTTCATGGAATGGTTATACACTTGGACCATATGTTTAACTAACTAACCTACTTGATATTGAGAATTATAGTTGCTTTTGTACTACATTTAAAAAGCTGTCAACATTTAGTTAAACCAGCGACATGTGAGGAGTTAATCATTTGATCAGCCTTTTTTGGAGTTGGGGCAAAATATGTTATTTAAAATTTATCAAATCTAATAAGTTAGCACCCATATTATATGTTTGAAGCTAAATATATAAATAGCAATACCAAGAAGACTTGGTTTCTGTTTACTTGGGGAATGATTCCTTTTGACCATTTAAATTCCTACCATCTTATCAGATGAGTAGATATTTAAGACATAATTTGTACTTAATTCCAAGTCCAATGGGCTTTGCAAATTAAAAATGCCTAAATTGTTCAACTCAAGTCTGATGATTTTAAAGATGTATTCTAAAATTTATCCTTTTGGTTTTGTAACTTCAAAAGAGGGAGAAGCATTACCTCTTCCTCCTCTAAACACTTGTTCTCCACCCCAGAGTGTCTATACTATCCCATACAAACCAGCCCTAGGCATTCTTAAAGACCAGTGTTCATTCCAATCATGGATGTTATTGTTGTGCCTTTAATTCTGGATCTGGAAGGGTGAGCATCTTAAATAACTTATCAGAAATGGTCCTATCACAGAGGATAATTATAATTACTGCCATCTACTGAGCATCTAAAAGGACCTCTGGTGGTGTAGTGGTTAAGGCAGGCAACCAAAAGGTCAATGGTTCAAACCCACCAGCCACTCCACAGATGAAAGATGAGGCAATCTGAGGATTCCGGCAAGATGGTGGACTAGGCAGAAAGACTGCACAGACCCTCTTCAACAAAGAAAAGGGAAACCAATTAACACAGACACAGAAGATAATCCTGGACCCCTGAGCCTTGA